ACCAGTTTTGTAAAAAGAAAAAAAAGGTATATATAACATTTATGCGATTTGTTAAGAAAGTGCTCCCAGGAGAAACTGGTTAATAGACCGGATAAGTAGGATAGGGGAGAAGCCAAGTGAGTTCAGCCTGATCCCATGGGGAACTCTAGAGCAAAAATTACACTTCACAAATATTCTATGAATCCACTTATGTGAGGTACCCAGAATAGGCAATTCCATAGAGACAGAAAGTAGATTAGAGGTTACCAGGGGCTGGGGAAGAGGGAATGGTCATTGTTTAATGGGTTCAGAATTGCAGTTTCAGATGATGAAAAAGTTGTGGAAATGAATAGTGGTGATACTTGCATAATATTGTGAATGTGTAACAGCTAGATCTTAAGTCAGCATGAGGGGGCCCGGCCTCGTGGTGCAGCGGTTAAGTGCATACACTCTGCTTCCTCTGCCGCACGGGGTTCGCAGGTTCCGATCCCAGGGGCGGACCAACGCACCGCTTGTCAAGCCATGCTGTGGCGGCATCCCATATAAAGTAGAGGAAGATGGGCACAGATGTTAGCCCGGGGCCAATCTTCCTCAGCAAAAAGAGGAGGATTGGCATCTGATGTTAGCTCAGGGCCGATCTTCCTCACACACACACAAAAAAATGGCATGAGGGAAGCCATCTTAGGGAACGGAAGCAATGTTGTGACTATGATTCTGACTCACTAGTCTCTGTAAATACATTCTAGCCTGCACGTAACATAGATGATTAAGCACCTCTTGCTTTTGCAAAATACATGATCTGCTAGTATTATGACTCTTGCTGTGATAAGATGATAACTTTGTTTTCTGAGTTCCCCAGAAACATGAGGACCTCCAGAAAGAAAAACTCTGTGTTGGTACCCATCCTGAATGACAGAAGAAAGAGATAATTTGGCGCCTTGAAGTTCGTCACACCGAATGGTCGATGTCCCTAAACCCCCTCCTTCCCTGCCCATTTCCCCTATATAACTGCCGGTTCTGCCAGGTAGTTCAACAAAGAGAATTTCATAGGGGGGAATTAGTTACAAAGGTGTTGGATGCACATAAAGAGTGCTAGGAGAAAAGAAGACAGCCTCCATATGAGCAACTGAGGAAGTCACTACCCTACCTGGGACAGGAGGGACAAAGGCAGCAGGTGGTGACAGAGCCCAGGGGCCAGACCAGATGCACTCTCCGCCAGAGATACCACCCACCTGCGGCAGAGAGAAAGGGGAAGAAATACCCCAGCTTCTGCCTTCCTCCTGCCCGCCACTGTCTCCTGCCCACGTCTCCTATTGGCTGAATGCAGCCAGAAACGAACTGACCAGAGGCCTGAGAAATGTAGCCCCCACCAAACAGAACAGAGCAGAGGAAGGGCAAAGAACCGATCTGAGGACAAAACGGCCATGACCACACTTACCGTTCTTCTGTTCAACAGGGACGTACTAAGTGTATGTTATGTGCCAGGACTGTGCTAGATATTGGGGCTACAGCCTGGAATAAATGGCACAGAGAGACAGCACAGTTTGGGGTAAGACAGAAGTGCTTCTGCACAGCTGGAGGAAGCCTCCACTCCAGGAAGGCTGCCTCTAGCCCATATTGTGTCTTTGTGCAAATCAGAAAAAGTCCCTCCAGGAGGACACAGCCCCTTGGGCACACAGCTTGGCCAGCAGCTGGGGCAAGCTGCATACTCCTGGGCAGGGTACTATTTCCACAAAGGGGCCTGGAGATTTGGCTTCCTCTCTAGAAGGAATCCTTAACCTGAGGACCAAGGATTCCTGGAGCAGGGGTCCCTGAAAGCATATTCATTCATTCATTTGACAAACATTTATAGAGCAACATCTAGGGGCCAGGCATTTCTTCTAGGTCCTAGGGAGACAGCAGTGAAAAAAACACAAAAACTGCTCTGACTTCAAATATGGCAACATGCTGATAATTGTCAAATATAGGCAGAGGTTGTAACAGGTGTTCATTGTACTATTAGTTATGTTTTTCTGTGTGTTTGAAATTTTTTACTTCAAGTTGGAAGAAAAAAATCTTTGCCTTCAAAGAGACAGACAATAAATATCTGTGTGTGTGTGGGTGTGGGTGTGTATGTGTGTGTGTACCAAGTGCTAAAGAGAACACGCAACAGGAATGAGGTTGGCAAAACAGGTTGGGAAGTATATATGGAGATTCCAATTTTAAATATGATGGTCCAGCAACTCCTTACTGAGGTGATGTTTCAATAAAGCCCTAAAGGGGAGGAGGGAGTGCTCCAGGCTGCTATCTGGAGGAAGAGATGTCCTGGCAGAGGGCATAGAAGAGGCAAAGGCCCTGAGGCAGGAAGATGCCCAGCATTTTCCACAAACAGCCAGGAAGCAAGTGTGTGGCTGGAGCCGAGGAAGACTGGGTGCTCCAGTAGGCGCCAAGGTCATAGAGGAAAGGGGAGGAATGTGGGCAGATGCCGCAGGGCTTTGAGGGCCACTGTAAGGACTGTGGCTTTTATTCTGAGTGACAAGGGGAGCCACTAAGGATGTGAGCCAAGGAGTGAAGAGTGTCGTGGGCCGACTTGTGTCTATGTAAAATGCGTGCATCTTCTAGGGGTGGAGGAGCTATACAGGTTCCCTCAGATTTTCATAAGAGACTAGTAGACCCTCAAAAGACTGAGAACCGGTGTGATGTCGGTTTTCCCTTCAAATCTTGCCGCCTTATCTTTGCACCGTTTCCTGCCTGCTTCGGCCGTTGCATTCGCCCTGGAGAACCCCAAACGCGAGAGGGCCAGGGGTGGGGAGGGCGGTAACCTCCCCGGGCACACTGTGGCCCACGCTCTGCAGACAGCAGGTCTCCCGGCTCGCCCACCAGCCTTTGGCCACCAGGCCGCTGCACCAGCCGGCACTCGACCTCCCCAGGCCGGAAGACGTCCTTGCCCGACGGCGGAGGACCTGCATCCTTCCCCATCCGCGGCCCCGCGAGGGCACAGTCTCCTCAGGAAGGGGCGTGCACTGCCGGGCTGCTTTGCTGGGGCCCCGCGTTGCCATAGAGACCCCGGCCAGGCCCGGGACGCCGGAGCGCGCACTGCCTGTGGCAATTGAGGTTGGAGGCTGCGACCCCACGGCTCCCACCCCGGGAACTCCGGATCCAGGCTCCGCCCCGCGGGAGAGCGCGGGAGAGCGCAGGTGAGCGGGCGCAGGTGGGGCCGGCGGGGGCTCGAGACTGACCCCCAGCTGTCTGGGCCCCGCCCCCTCCACCTTCCATTGTGGTAATTATTGTTATTCAGTAACAAAACAACAGGGGCAGAGTCCATGCACCGCGCTGCAAGACGTTCTTTTCCTATCAGTAGCTCATGTGTTAAGACCGCAACCTCCTTTTGAGTAGAACTTATGTTCCCGAAAGGGTGGGACAGAGGATGATTTTCTATTACACTGATGAGGCGTTAAGTAACAACCAGTGACGTCGTAAGAGAGTTATTATATTCTAGGTTCTCTTACAATTCTGAGTAAGCCAAGGAGAAAGTGTCAGTTTAGGGCTACTATAGCATTAACACCTTTCTGAACATTTGCTAATCTCATCTGTAAGCCACAATATCTAGCTAAGACAAAGATTGGTTTCTTTTCAGTATTTTTATTTTGACAGTTACCTTCCCCTTAGGGTAACTGATACTGGTTTTCCATTTATAGTAATGATATGTAAAGTCTCTTTCTTGGATAAATGTGTTGATTTTTTAGAGTGAATTAAATATAAAGATTCATCAGAGTAGAATGGTTCTTGAAAGTGGGAGAAGAAAGAAAAACCTTAAATTTAGGACCTGAGACTGTTTCCCCCCTCCCACCTTTTGTACTCGCTGTTTTCTTTGCCTTGAGTAACGCTCCTATTCCTGGGCATGACTGTCAAAGTATGTACCAACCAGGATGGTTGGTCAGCCTGGGCAGACTCCTGGAGGCCCCTGCTGTAACCCAAGAGAAGGAATCCCTTGATGGGCGGGGCCCAGTGCAAAATGAAAATGGGGGACCCTTGCTCATAAAGTATTAAGAATTGCAAAATGGTGACAGCAGAGTAGTAAACCAAGCATGAGCCCTTCGCAGCATGGGGCCCTGTGCAACTGCACAGGTCGCATACCCATGACACTGGCCCTGGATGGCTGGATGCTGGGACACCATGATCTCCTGGAACTGACTCAGCCCTGAGGTCATTCTGATTGGTCAACACGTTTGCATGCTGATGGTTAAATACCTAATGCCAGGCCCTGCTGCAGCACTGCTGGTGTGTGTGTGAGTGTGTGTGTGTGGACTCCCCAAACCCATGGAGCAGCATAGATGGTATTTGTTGAGGGGAAACAGGAATTGCCAAGATTGGGAGGAGACCATCTTTATCACCTTGCACAAGCCCCATGGAGACAGACAGACAGACATAAATGTCTGCACTGGAGATCCTGAGGACATGAAGAGCATAGATGGGGTCTCCCAAACTGGGGAGAGGCCCTGGAGCACCCAAAGTCTCTCTGCGACCCCACAAGGCAGGGCAGGGAGGAGAGCTCCGATGGTGAGGCAGACAGGTAGAGTACCCAGGCAGAGGTCAGACATCAGAGGTAGGAGGGTGACCAACCATCCCGGTGTGCCTGGGGCTGTCCCAGTCTTAGCACTGAAAGTCCAAGGTCCCTGAAAACCCTCAGTCCTGGGCAGTCTGGGACAGTGGTCACCCTACAGGCAGTATCTTTAGTTGGGGCATTCATGACAGCTCGGAAACCCCGGCAAAGCCAGTCCCTGGGCTTTCCCACCATCCTATCCACCAGACAGATGAGGCAGGACCAAGGGGGCTAAAGTGCTGGGTGCTGGTCTGGTGGTGGGGGGGGGGCCTGTGCGCTGTGCCATAGCAGCTGTCTGCCAGCCCAACACAGCGTAGCTACCCCCCACTTCCCTGAAGGGCATCCCAGTGCTTACCACTGGGGGCTCCGGGCCAAGTTCTAGCTGTATGGCCAGCATCCACTCTGATGGGTCATACTGGTTATTAAATGTGTGACTGTCACTCTGCCCAGGGGCAGCTCATCCTCATGCCATCACAAAACCCCCTGCTCTACTGGTTTCCCTGGGTTCCCAAGCAATTGTGCCATCAGACCCCCCCAGGGGGCCCCTGGAGAAGCAAGGGAGGGCACAACCAAGGGTCAGTTCAGCACAAAAGGATCCTCCCCAAGGGCTGCGCATCTCCCTCGAGGACTCAGAACACACATGACTCACCCCATTTGAGCTCAGACAGGTGCATCCTTGGGAAGCCCTAGGATCCTGGCATTAGGCGGGGTGCACTGAGCCCCCGATGTCCCTAACCCTTTGCCAGCATCCTCTGGCCCCGCAGAAGCAGCTGACATGCCTGTCTCCAAGTGCCCACATAAGTCGGAGCCCCTGTGGAAGGGATGGGACCGGAAGGCCCAGAAGAATGGACTGAGGCACCAGGTGTATGCTGTCAATGGCGACCGCTATGTGGGTGAGTGGAAGGACAACATGAAACACGGTGAGTGGGGGACCCTCAGGGGCTCGGGCGGTGAGTGTAGGGTCTTGGCTGTGGTGGGCGACCGGGACCAAGAACGCAGGGTGCAGAGCTCACTGGGGACATAAGATGTGTCCCCAAGGCTCCCCAAAGGGGTAAATCTAACTTGCACCAGCCAGGGGACTCCACACGCTGGGGCTCTGGAACAGAACTCAGCCCTGACCTAAGCTGAGCAAAGGGCTCAGGGATCAGCAGGGGACAAAGTGGTCTTGAGACACCAGCTGCAGCTAGGGCTCTGAAGACTCCAGCTCCGTCCCTCCCCTCTGAAACCTGGGCTCAGCCTGGGGTAGCTAGCAGGAGGAAAAGGTGGTCCCCCAGAAACGGGCTAGCAACTGGGGTTCTGGTCTTCACTCAACCCTGACACCATTCTGAAGACGGCTGAGCCTGAGGTCTGACCAGCAGTGGGCGAGGGAGGATTCCCCCCGCCCCCGAAGTATCTGGGGCTCCGACTTTAACTGAGCTGGGCTCTGGGTCTCACCAGCAGGGAACACGGGGGTCCCGTTGATACAAACTAAGCCCTGAAGGAAAAATAAAAAACAGTGGCATGGCTTCTCACTCCACTCTTGCAATTCCAGACTCTATGCTCTTTTTTTTTTTTTTTAAGATTTTATTTATTTTATTTTTTCCCCCCAAAGCCCCAGTAGATAGTTGTATGTCATAGCTGCACATCCTTCTAGTTGCTGTATGTGGGACTCGGCCTCAGGATGGACGGAGAAGTGGTGCCTCGATGCGCACCCGGGATCCGAACCCGGGCCACCAGCATTGCAGCACACGCACTTAACCACCAAGCCACAGGGCCGGCCCCAGACTCTATGCTCTTAACCACCTTCTCTCCTGCCTTCCAGTGTTAAGTGCTTTGGAGTCCAGAAACCTGGGTCAGAGTCTCAGCTCCACCAACAAGGGCCTGGAGTGAATCACTACACCACTCTGAGCCTCAGTTTCCCCATCTGTAAAATGGGAATAATATCTATCTGTAAAGATAAAAGATAACATCTATCAAGCCTGTAGCCCAGGGTCTGTGCAGAAGGGGAACTTCTGGAATGTTCTCTGAGGGCTGAGCATGGCAGGGATCTCTATTCAGAACCATCCTTGTCTAAGAAGCCCACCAAAGAACTGACCCCACCCAGCATGTGACACAAATCCACCCTCAGCTCTGACTTAAAGGCCAGGCTTGGGGCCAGCCCCATGGCTTAGCGGTTAAGTGTGCACGCTCCGCTACTGGCGGCCCGGGTTGGGATCCCGGGTGCGCACCGTCGCACCACTTGTCCGCCATGCTGAGGCGGCATCCCACATACAGGAACTAGAAGGATGTGCAACTACAACCTACAACTATCTACTGGGGCTTTGGGGAGAAAAAGGAAAAAAAAAAGGAGGAGGATTGGCAATAGATGTTAGCTCAGGGCCGGTCTTCCTCAGCAAAAAGAGGAGGATTGGAATGGATGTTAGCTCAGGGCTGATCTTCCTCACAAAAAAAAAAAAAAAAGGCCAGGCTTTATGCAGCTGCTCTGAGCTCTGTGTGTGGTTAAAGATGCCTGTGGGTGTACTTCAGTCCTTGTGGGCAGCATGTGGTGTGGACAGAGCCCTGGACCAGGAGTCAAGACCCTGAGGTTCTGAGACTGGCGCTACCACTGAGTACCACATCCCATTCTCTGGATCTGGGCTGCCCCACCTGTGATATGGCATTGTGGGCTGATGTGGCCTGCTGAGTGAGCCCTCCTTCTGTGTGAGTCCTGCCTCCCCTCTGACCCTGGAGGCATAGAGCTGATGGGGCTGGGGCTGCAGAAAGAAGACCTGTCCGAGAATCCAGGCCCAACCCCCCTTCTTCAACACTCACCTTTTGACCAAGCTCAGCTGGGTTGCTGTGATGTAAACAGATTAAGCAGACTGGAAGCAGTCAAGAGAGGAATCACGTGGGGCAAGGACAGGCCCCAGTGGTTCCCAGACTGCTCATTCATCCACCCATTAATGCACTCCTGCTCCTGCCAGGCCCTGTACTGGGCATCTGCATATTCCCCACCCTCAGGGAGCTTTCAGTCCCCCGGAGAACCTGCACAACAGGTTTTCCCGTTTTACAGATGAGGAAACTGCAGCTCAGAGAGAGGAAGTGACTTACTCAAGGTCACATGGCTAAAAGTGGCGGCATCAGGGTGTGATGGAGACATGAAAGGGGCCATGAGAACATAGTCAGAGGTGATGTTTGAACTGAGCCCAGAAGGGTAGGAGGACAGGTACAAACAAACAAGTGTTCCCTGCAGTGTGGCAGGGCCCTACCTCAAAGGCAAAAATAATTGCTATCTTTCCTATTTGCAGACACTGTTCTAAGTCTTCTACATATATTAATAAATTTAGTGAAGAGAACAAGCCCACGAGCTAGTCTTATCCCCATTTTACAGATGAGGAATCTGAAGCCCAGAGAATTAAGTTAATTGCCTGAGATCAAAAAGCTCACAGGGACAATGTTGGATTTGTTCCTGAGCTACCAAGAACCAAGACATGAATTGGCCCATATATGTACTCCACAAATATTTTACTCATCCCTTTGTTCAACAAATGTCTTTGTTCAAGTATTAGTCACTTACAACGTGCCAGGCACTGTTCTTCAGTGGTGGGAATAGAGCATTGAGCAAAATAGACCAAAGTCTGTGCCCTCGTGGAGCACACATTCTCCTGGAAGAGACAGACAACAGACAATAAACGATAAATAAGTAAATTATCTATTATGTTAGGAGTTGATAAGAGATATGGAAAGAAACAGCAGGATAAGCAGGCAGAAGAGGCTTATTTTAAATGGCATGGTCAGGGTAGTCCTCATTGAGAAAATGAGATTTGAGCAAAGACTTGCAAGTGGAAGGGAGTAAATGAATATTTGGGGAAGAGTGTTCCAGGCTAAGGGACAAGCAGGTACAAAGGCCCTGAGGCGGAAGCCTATCTCGGTGGGTTCCAGGATCAGCATGGAGGCCATAGTGGTTGGAGGGCAGTCTGGAAGGTGGGAGTGGAGGACACAGAAGTGGCTGGAGTAGTAAGAGATGGGCCTCCATGTATGTTCAGGAGAACTGAAGAAATATGCAGAACATTCTCTAGAAACCCTGGCCATCTGACGTATCCATTCGGTATTATTCATTCCATTCAGTGTTATTAAGAGATGAAGCTGAAATGCTGAAGGGGCAGATTTATACTTGGGGTTTGCTATATCAATCACTCTGGCTTCAGGGCAAAGGGCTGGAGAACCACTGTTTGTAGAAATGGAACTCTCTTGGGGTTTTCCCGGGTACTGGGGGTCTAGAGAGGAGGCACAGACCCGGACACAGTATTGGAGGATTGTCTAGTCTAGGGGCCCCTGACATCCAGGCAGACACAGTGCCTGCCTCTGCACACCCTCCCCCCGGGCCCCATGGAGGCCATGTCTGCAGTGTTGGCACATCCGTGTGTCACCAGGGAAAGGAACGCAGATCTGGAAGAAGAAAGGAGCCATCTATGAGGGGGACTGGAAGTTTGGGAAGCGAGATGGCTATGGCACCCTCAGCCTTCCTGACCAAGAGACGGGAAGGCACAGGAGAGTATACTCGGGCTGGTGGAAGGGCGATAAGAAATCGGTGAGTGGTTCCCATCATGCCCTGGGGTGTGGGCCAGGCATGCTGTGTGTGGGTGTGGATGTGGGTGTGGGTGTGTATAGCAGTGGCAGTCAGAGAGGCCTGGGAGAACAGGGGGGGATCTGAGGGGAGGAGGGCAGGGTTGCTGTGTGGGTGGGAGAAGGAAGGGGTGGGGGTATCATCAAGGCTTCTCAGAACAAAACCCAGGAAACAGGAAGCAAGAGGAGAGGGCCCAGGGAGGAGCCCTGAAAGGCACTGTGGCTACGAGAAGCCAGCCAGGTTGTGTGGGGGCGAAGTTTCCTCCCGCCTCGTACCCACTCATTTCCTGGCTTTCTTTTCCCTGGGCATCCCTTTCTAAGAATCCCCCTTCTGTTTGGCCTGGATAAGACTGGGAGGAGGGTAGGAAAAGTGGGAACGAGAAAGTAGAGGCCACACCCTTGACCACAGGACAAGAGAGGAACATCCTGGGGGTAGAAGCCAGCCAGAGGCATGTCTCCCACCCATAAACGCCCGAATCCTCACCAGAGGCCATGGAGACAGGTAATAATACAGTATTGCTGTGGAATAACTGCTATTGTGACCCTGGAACATGATATATGGTACTTCAGTTAACTCTCACAGCAACATCAGCACCAGCAGCATTATTATCATCATCATCATCATTCCCATTTTACTGATGAGGAAACAAGCTCAGAGAGGTGAAGTGCCTTGCCTGGGGCCGCACTGTGGACAAGTGGTAGAGCCCAGGACTTCATGATCTCTGTCTCAAATTGCTTATGGGGGGGGGGGGGGGGGGACGACAGGACACAGAGATCCCAAAATAAACAGTTTACATATAATACAATGTTAGGATACAGGTTTTCATCTCTATCCTAACACCTAGCCCAGAGGAAGATCATTGGGAGTTCAGGGCAGGCTTCCTGTAGGAGGTGACACCAAAAGATGCAAGGAGGGCCGGCCCGGTGGCCTAGTGGTTAAATTCGTGCGCCTCCCTTCTGAGGTGCGGGGTGGGGTGGGGGGGGTCGGGGGGGGTTTGCTGGTTGGGATCCTGGGCGCGGAGGTACTCACTGCTCATCAAGCCATGCTGAGGCGGGGTCCCACATCGAGCAACTAGAGGGATATACAGCTATGACATGCAACAATCTACTGGGGCTTTGGGGAGAAAAAGGGAAAATGGGAGGAAGATTGGCAACAGATGTTAGCTCAGGGCCAATCTTCTGCAAAAAAAAAAAAAAGATGCAAGGAGTTAGCCAGGGAGAAAAAAGGAGCAGCGGAAGTGGCAAGGGAGGCAGAAGTCGCAAAGGGAAGGAGATATTAAGCAGCAAGATGTGTATGCCCACAGGGCTGGGAGTGAGGGGAGGGGTAGGTGGGGGCCTTGAAGGTTATGTGGGAAATCAGGATTTTAAGAGGTAAACTTGGCTGCTTAATCCAGCCTCCTTAGGTGTGATCCTTGGGGAGTCCATGATTCTCTGTGGTTGGATGCTAAGTGTGGTGTTTATGTTCATTTTTCTGGGGAGAAAGTCCGTAGCTTTGATCTGATTCTCAGAGGCATCTGCGATTTTTAATAGGGTCAAATCAGAGTTGGGGAGACGGGGAAAACGTGATCAGATGGGCAATGTAAAGATCCTTCTCGCTGCTGTATGGAGGATGCATGGGGCGGGGAGAATGGGAGAGTGGAAGAGGGGAGCCAATGAGGAGGGGAGAAATCATGGTGGCTGCGTGACGGCCGGAGCAGAGAGGTAGAGGGACATGGACAGCCTGGGGAGAATTTTCAACCACGGCCATCAGCTTGGATGTATGGCTGAGGGAGGAAGTAAGAAAGAAGCCCGGGGTATGGCTTGGGTGCCAGGGAGGATGGTGGGGGCGCCATGAACAAGGACACTTCGGTGCTTTCAGGGCTATGGGATGCAGTTTTTCGGACCCAAGGAGTATTACGAGGGTGAGTGGTGTGGCAACCAGCGCAGCGGGTGGGGCCGCATGTACTACAGCAATGGCGACATCTACGAGGGCCAGTGGTGCAACGACAAGCCAGAAGGGGAGGGCATGTTGCGCCTGAGTGAGTGCCCCGCCCC